CACACACACACACACACACACACACACACACACACACACCCCTTGTCGCCTGGTCAGACTAATGCTGCAGCTCTGTGTGCCAGTTGGCAGTTGTAACAGACTGGGCACTTGTCTGTATACAAGCTTGAGGCAGGATTTCATTGGACGTAAGGGAAGACTGGGCAGCTTGCGGTCAACAGTGAATGGCTCTGCATATCAAATATTGCTTTCATCCACTTCTCTGGCAACGATTTAAGTTTGTATTTTGCAAATGCTTAAACATGAGGGAGCCTGTAAGTTGAGTTAAGTTGAGTCTTGTCTCACTCAGGCTGTAGATAGACTCCAAAACATTGACTGCTCAGTGTTATTTCCCCTCAGTAAAATTGTGTGTGATTTAGTTTAATATATTTTTTGGGTCAAAAAGTTTTCTTAAGCTAAAATAAGCAATAGTTTAGTATTAGCGAATACTAAATGTTGCCAATGATAACGACGGATAGGCTAAAGACAACTCTGCATTGTATTACATAAAGTTACCTATGATGGCTCACAGTATATTGGTTTACCTGAAGAGAGATCTAGAGTTACAACCTCATGGTAACAGTGACCTTACACAACCAAAATCTAATCAGTCAATCTAATCATCCTAGAGTCAAGGTGGATATTTGTGCCAAATTTAAAGAAATTCCATTCAGACGTTCCTGAGATACCACGTTCACGAGAATAGACTGGACGGACAACCCAAAAACATAATAATCCAGCCACGACTGTCGCCTACTGTATATCCATCCATCCATTATCTTTTAACTGCTAATCCTGTTCGGGGTCGCAGGAGGGGGCTGGAGCCGATCCCAGCTGACATTGGGTACATTCAGGACAGGTTACCAGACTATCGCAGGGCTGACAAGCAGCGACAGACGACCATTCACGCTCACATTCACACCTACGGGCAATTTAGAGTCATCAATTAACCGAAGCCTCACTGCTGGACTGTGGGAGGAAGAGGGAGTAAGGGTTATCTAGAATAGGTCTTCATCCATAAGGTATGGGTTTAAATTAAGTATATTTGATTCATTATAAGCATTAAGTTGGTTTTGGGTTGTGATTCTGCAGCTAAAGAAATGTACCTAAATCGAAAACAACAAAAGAAAACTGAAACAGATGTTTGCATAGCAATAAAGAACACACACATTCAAGGGCTAATTTTATATAAATAATCTATCAATTATATCAATTTAGTTTAGAAAGTGGAGGGACGGATAGATGGATGTCCTTTACAGTACAATACAACCTTTATGTTAAATAGCACAGGGAACTGGCTAAAGGCAGGTGAAATGTAACAAGGTGAAACAGAAACATATGATTGTTTGGCACTTATAGCTCACTGAAGCACTGACAAAGACGAGCTCAACTCTGATTTGTTGTGGGTCACGGCCGACACTTCAGTTTGTAGGTTCACGTCATCGACCTCCATTGAAAATGACTCGTAGAATGTTGCTGTGTCGCTCATAATGTGAAAGCAGCATAATATTTTTGAATACTGACCAGCCAACATCAGATGACGAGACTAATGAGAGAACAGGGTTTCCAGTGAGTCAGTTATGTGCCAAAATTACACCCATTTACAGCATTAACATACCAACATTTAATAGATGTTTCACTGATTGATGATTGCGCTTCACAAAAACAGATATTTACCGGGTTTGTGTGAGATGATGACATCAGCTAGCTGCTGCTGCTCAGGGACTGGGTTTTGCTTGCTGTTGTCTTCCTCCTGGAGTTTATCCACCATGGCGATGACACAGTTGAGACATTTGGCCACGTTGGCCCACACCCTGTCCTAAAAGAGCCAAATATACAATCAGCAGTCAGAGATTGAGATGAGATTGTGAAATTGGGGGAAACCAAAACTTGCAATAAAACCAGAAACAAAAATGGTTGAAGCAGCTTTACAGTGTAAACTGGCTTCATGTCCAAACGGTTAAAAGTAAATAGCTGTCTGGATATTATGAGATTACTCTCAAAGCGTTTCAATTGTTTCCAGCTTTCTCGGACCAATAGATGCTTTCACTTGTGTGTGTGTGTGTGCGCGCAAATATGATAATCTAAGTGTGTGTGTGTTTTGTAAATAGTGTTGTTTATTTTGGTCTTTCGTGCTTCAAAAATATAGTTTGAACTTGATAAAACGGTAAGGAAAATTTTGAGCGATAATTAGGCATTGGTGTGCAGAAATCATGTCAAACTCCTGCTGTCAGTAAGGCCGATGCCGTGCTCACACGCAAACAAACCAACAGCCATACACACACTTCAATGAAAAGAAGCAGCATGACTTATTCTGCAGTGACTTTGTCATGATAAAATGTTGAAACTCCTTTGAGAAAACTCATTAAAAAAAGTGTTATGTTTGGTATACAATCCCATTTTTTAAAGTTTTATGCCATAAAAATGGTTAATCTGTCCTGATAGTTTATCTCCCCGTGTGTAATCGACCACAAGGCCAGCAGTAAATATGATAGTTTGTATCATTGTTCTTAAAAATAAATAAAACTCAACTCTTCTTAATGACTTAGAAAAGTAGTCACGCTCACCCATTCCTCCTCGTCGTACTCTTTATGGTGCGGTATGGAGTCTTGGTGCTTCAGCGGCCCACCTTCGCCTCTAGTCGTGCTCTGTAATCCTTCCACATTATTACACACGGCTGTGCTGTCAGTGATCGACGTGGCCGGACTGTGACCTGGAAGTCCCTGGACTGGGCTCGGATTCTGGTCACTGCCCTGGAGGATGTGGCCTTGATGTTGGCCTCCCAGCACCGGGGTTTGCTTCTGGTGCTTGGAAACGTATCCGGGCCGCGCTGCATGCAGTGCCAGTAGTGCACTCTTGACCAATTCATCCTTAAGTGTGTGAACAAATTGTTCCGTCTGTAGCAAAGAGAGTGAGAAAGACAGATTGGAAAACAAATTAAAATGTAAGCGCTGGAAAAAGCAAAAGAGACAGAGAAAGTGGGAAGAGATTGTCACATTTGCAGGGGTAAGAAAATACAGGTGGAAAGTAATCTTGGATGTGTGTAACTATTTACAGAGGAAGGGAAGAGAAACAAGGAAAATGAACACTCCTTCACCATAAACTAGCTCCTCTCCATTACTGCAGCACAGCCGGTGAGCAACAAAAACAGCAACAAACAACAAACAATTCAATTACTCCTCCTCCAGCCTGCTTCTGTGAGGAGCACACCTCCTTTGATCTCAAATTCACCAGCTACTGTAAGGTGATGATGATCCCGGTACCAAGGAGCCTCGCGCTCGCTGCCACCACTGCGTGAAAAATGATAAGGGCTCTCAAGAGTAATTGAGTTAGCGCTGCAAAAGGCAATTTTATTACCACAGCAAAATGCAGTCTAACAAAACACGAGCCAAGCCCTCCATGAAAAGAAACTGGTGATGTCATTCATGTGTATGCATATATTTGCCATACAAACACCCTTTTCCTGCGCCCTACCCAGCACTGGCCCTGACCCATTTGGTGCAAAGTTTAGCTGCCGCCCCTGGCTTCGCAGCCAATTCCACCACCACTGTGGGCAGCTTAAAAGGCCAAGTAGTTATGTTGTTGTAGGCTTTTTTTGTGTTCATCCTCCCTCCTTGATGTGGACTGAACAGTGAGCTTGTCAGCAAAGAAGTAGACAACTGAGGAAAAGTTACCCAGGGCCGGTACGAGAGACGCTTTGTGTGGATGTCAAAAGGAAGTGATTCTGAACTTTGTCTGCTGGTGACTCCTTAAAATGAAGCAATGCCGACTTGTGACTCATTTTAAAAAGCTGCGTGACCGGTCAGCATTTTACCAAAGAAATTATTTTCACTTCTCTGATTGTGTCATTTGCGTAATTATCCATTACTCATCCAGCTATCCAGTATAACATAAGAAAAGGGAATAAAGTAAAAATGGTGGAATAAGAAACTTTGTTTTTTCTCTATTCATATCTTGACTCTGATTCTGACTGTCTTCAGTTCAACAGTCGGTTCAGTCTGTTGCTGATCACTGAGTACAGTACAAGTCTAGTCTAGTCTCAAGCCTATGACATGTGGATGTTTTCATAAGGATGGCAGTCTTCTTGTCTAATGTTCTATATATGATTACAATGTCCTGATTATGAGAGAGAATTTGTTTTTTTTAAATGTTTGCATGTTTTTTATTTAGATGGAATGAAATTAAAGATCTAGAAATTTTGATGTGGTGTTATTAATAAACTTAATGTTAACCTTAATGTTAACATGGCATACAGATTAACAAAAAAAAAATGTAAAAATGGCATGACGCCCGGGCTACACGACCTATTTCCTATCATCATATGGGCGTACACTGAACAAAGATGCTTCACGTCGGTGGAGTCGATCGTCAAACGCTTACAGTTGATCTCAAGCTTATTGAGCTGCAGTTCCAAACACTCGTTACTTCTGTTACTTTGACCACTTTTCACAAATCTGTCACTTTAACTGAGAATAAACTGCTGACTTGAGTAAAGAGTATCTTTGTTCCTCTTATGATGCAGCTACAGTCTGTTTCAGTCATTAACAAAAACATATAACATATTGATTTAAAACATATAAAGACTTATCCACATAGAATGAGCCATTTGATGAATGTTTGAGCACAGAGAGCAAATGATGACCACACTTAAAACACCATTGTATCCAATTCATATCCATTATAATTGCCTTGCTTGGATCCAAATGTGTTCCATTACTGTAAGTCAATGATGTGAGAGCTGAAATCTATGGATAAGACTGTGTGTAATTATCTGAGAACAAGCACTTGTGCTAAAATACTATTCTGCGATGCGCACAATCATACATAAAGAAGTAAACATCATTTTAAAGATAGAAAAATGTCCTACATGGAAAAAATAAGCTACACTTGATCGAGCAATCAAAACACTGAACAGGAACTGGGGATTCAAGATGTAAATTCGCATTCAAATTGAACTCTGCTTATCTGACCTCAATGTTAATTTGCAATCTATGAAACCATGTTTTATTCATCATCATTCCTGAGATGAGCGAACAAAGCCCAACACTGAATTTAAAAGAATCTGGATCTTATTTGCACTTCTTAACCACAGGGTCAAAGAAGTCATGCATTTGAGTAACTTTTTTTGAAACTTATTTTCTATGCAACCCAGGCATTACATTAGAAACCAACCAATCATTCAATCACATTCCTAAATATTCAGCCAGTACCAAGGCTTGTATCGTCTAAGATCAGGATCTACGGCGAAGTGCAGAAAGCATTTTAATGATATGCCGTGCACCAGGATCCATATAGATACTGTGTTCAAAATAGAATATCAGAGGTGCCCTCGTTTGGGCAAAGGAGGAAAGCATTGCGGCGTCATTCTCTTACCAAGACTAAACCAAAGCAACTTTGCTCCTCCCCGCACAAAAGAACTACTCCTTAGTGTAGCTCTTCCCCACCTACCTGTTTTAGAGATCTGAAACGCTCAAAATCCCCTGGGACAAATTCAGTTGCTAGTCTTCCTTCAATATATCTGCTGATATGATCTTGACTGAGCAGTTGTGCAAGTCAGAAAGTGCCTCTGTGGACCTATACTGAGGAAAAATAAGTTACATCTGATCTAAAAAAGAAGAAAACTGAAGAAATCTATTCACCCTGAATGGTTTTGGATGGTTTTACCCTGAAGGATGAGCGGATTTTGGCTGAGTTAAAAATAGAGCTTTTTTCACTCGATGTGACTTCACTTGAGAGAAGCTAAGGGAGGCTGGATGGAGCGAGAGCTGGTCAGATTCCAACAGCACTTGGCTGTCAGGACACTTATTCACGATTGCGTATATAACCTCCATACACCTTATAATCTAATATAATCGTGTGCATAGACGATCAAACCACAGCTCTTCCCAGGTAACTGTTAAGATGGAGACATTCAACTTGTCCTAGGACACAGCTGGAGGGATGGGAGATGTGTTGCAAATGTGCTTTTCACTGTGATTATCATCAGAGTGAAGTCATTATTATCATCATTAACAGAATTATCACCATATATAGAGAAGCAACAGCACATTTGCCGCGCCCGTTGTGAAGTAAAGAAGTGTGATATTTCATTAGGCCTCGAGTCAGGTGATGTGAAGCAAGAAGGAAAAAGTCAGATGCAACGAGTACTTGATAAAAAAAAAGTTCTTTCATCCCCCTGATTTTCTCTGGAGGTGTCTCATCTTCCCATCGTCATCTCAGATTCTCTGAAGGTGTAACTCACTGTCTTTATTGAAGAAACTTCACACACACCGCAGTGACACACTCTCAAATGCACTTGCCTTTATTCATATGTATGTAAGAAGGATGTCTGCGTGTGAGTATGGAGGGTTTTTTGGGGGTGTTTTTATTTTCATTATCGATTAATCTGCCAATTACTTTGTTAACTGTGGCGTTAAGTTTATTCAAACCCAAACTCATCCAAAAACAGCTTTCTGCTCCTAAGCCTGTGTCCAATAGTTTTCTTGGTAGAGTTGCATTCAGCGGACTACTCGGGTGGATGCATAGGTCTAAATTGACTGTGACACTATTTACCAAATGTTTACCTTCTTAGTGGAGTTATCCTACAAGAGAGACTTAGTACCAGTGCTGGTAATATTGCTCTGCTTTTTTCTTCGAAAATAGAACTGCAACATTTAAAAATTCTAGAAATAACTTTAAAACTTACAATTCAGCAGTTTGCTTCTCACTCTGAAAAGACAACCTCGGGAAAAATCCATAACTCATCATAAAAATGCCAAACTAACAAAAGTGAATAGCAGCATGGAGGTTTATGGAGTAGAGGCATTTTTATCAGTATAATTAATGAATTACATCTGGTGCTGTCAGATTGCAATCTGTTGTGGGAGAGATTGTTTTTGCCACAGTGGAATAGAGCCCAATCAGCCTGCTTAATTGGTACATTCGCTCTGTCACCACTTCTTCTCATCCTTGATTAGACACGCACACATTGGCCTAGTAAACCCCTGGCCTGGTCAGCACAAGCGTGGGCTGCTCTCTGATTAAAATATCAAGCTGTGTTTGTGTGTGTGTGTGTGTGGTTGAAGGCAGTGGAGGTGTTTCTGTCTGTATGTCAAAAAGCTGATGTTCAAGTGACATCAGCTCTCTTCAGGCCTCAAAAACGATCCATATTTCCTCCTCCACATCTGGTCGTCTTTCACAAAAATCTGCTTTTCTTTTCAGACAAAACAAAGATATATGTGCTCGCATGCACACACAGAATCATGCTCACTTGTTCACACATGTATACACCTGTACACACACACGTAATATCTAGCCTGCTTTATTCATATTACTAAAAATCACAAATTTCCCTCAAAAGACTTAAAGATACATCTAAAAGGCTTTTCAGGCTGAGGTATTACCTGACAATGTTTGTTGATGTGTCCAAGAATAGAATGGTTGGTTGCAGCAGCTTGAGGCCAAGAGGAATAAAGGGATAGTTAAGATGGAAGTGAGAGTGGGCGGAGGGTTTGGCGGCGGCCTCACCTTGTCAGAAAGGTTCTTGAGTGCATCCCTCAGACCAGGAGAAGAGTGCTCCTGGGCAGCCTGGAGGAGCTGGTCTGCTAAGCTTGTGATGAGGGGCAGGAGGAGGCTCATGGTGCTGAGTACCTCCTGAGCTTTAGCTGTGTGCTCTGGGGAGTAGTAGATACACTGGTAGGCAGTGCTGAAGCTGTGGTGAAAGAAAAAAAACACATCGACTCAGATTTGACAGTCGCACCATCGTGGAGTGGATCTATGAAATGCACACGAGTGGAACAAAACCTGATTTTAAAAGAACTGGGCCACACTAGCTTGTAATGAGATTGTAGACAGACAGTACTGAACAGAAGCTCATCCCATGTGTGTTTAGATAAGTGCTGCTGGTTTTCATTGTGTCCACTTGCTACCAGCGTTTGCCAAAACTAGCAGAGTAGAAAGAGACCGTATTTGATATCAAACAAGCTACACTGCAGCTTTCCCTTGTTGACCTGCTCCATGTGCTCAACCTTGACACAAATAATCAAAACCCAACTGATCGAGAACAGGTTTCCTTTATTTTTTCTTGAAAGGTATGAATTAAGCAAATATGCATGCTTTTCTGTAATGTTTTGTAATGTAAAAGCATTGCTGATATCAAATATATTTTATTCTCAGAAAATGATTTATCTCGAAGCCTTTGAATGTTGTGGAGTATGTGATGCACCGCGGCCAGTTGCTTTGTGCAGCTACTGCCCTGCTAAGAATAACAATAACAAGCGCAACCTTTACTGACAGCAGTTGCATCTGAATGTATTTACATTTTATCACAGCGTAAATTGGTAAACGACTACAAAGCTTGAGGATAAAGATAACTATAACTCGTATTGTTACCCAACAACAGTAGAAAAGCTTCACAATAACTCTTTTCACTTCTAATCCAAAATATGTCATAGAGTGGTTGATCATAACTTTACAATATCAAATGGCTATTCTTTGTCAAACAGACAAACAGTGGGTTTTTACTGAGTATAAATGTTGTGTTATGGCACACGAATTTAGTCTACTTTTGCTGCCTGGAAAATGTACAGCAGCAACACTTTCCAGGTATTCGGCATGAACTGTCAAATTGAAACTGCAGTCCAATGTCAACCCATTTTCTCTTTATGAATAATTAATCTCCTCTTCATTTCTAGGGAGCTATTTAATCTCAGACAAAAACGCCTTTTGTCAGTTCCTAGATTCAGGGCAAATCACTCCAATCAAACATTCTCCTCGGGTAAAGTTCCTGTGACTTTCAATGAGTTTCTGCTGACTTCCTGCCATCAGATGTAGCATGGAGCGAGGCAGTCATTTGCAACCCTCCCAGCTAGTTTAGAGTCAGCTCTGCAAGCCTCTATGTAGGCCAGACCCCAGAGCCAGATCCTAAGGCATAATTGACACAGAGAGAGAGAGAGAGAGAGAGAGAGAGAGAGAGAGAGAGAGAGAGAAGCACATACAAAGGGCTGGCATAATACAGTATTATCTGCAGCGCTCATAATATTTTCAGCGAGGGAAAGAGTGCTTCTTTAGAAGTCGCCCTGTGTGGAACAGCTCTACCTGATTTATAAGAAAGTGTGGAAATCTGAAGGCCTTAAGAAATTAGCTGTAGTAGGTACTATAACTATGTCTTTGACTGGCTAACTTTATAAATCTTGGCCTTGTCATTACTACTAATGAGCTCCCTGGAGGACTACCACCCACTAGCTCAAGGCTAATCAACGGAATCACTAAATGAGAGAAATACACAGGGCAAACAGTGTGAGATACTCAACCACACACAACCCCACCATGTCTACTTGCACACTTCTGTTACCCCCACCTCCACAACCATACCTCCAAATGCTACGATTTCAGTCACAGAGAAGACCATAATTGAATAATCTACTGCAACAAAACCCTTTTCTCTAAACCCCTTTCATCCTCCGTGAGCTTACATTCGTCTTACTACATTATGCAGAACTAAAGAGAAAAAAAAATCCCGAAGGCCTGCAACAATACAGATACTCCAGAAAAAAAGGCAAAAGGAGAAAGTTGTTGGGAAGAGGAAAATTCCTTCAGCGACTGAGATTCAATAATAGCCCTGTTGACTCATAAGTACAAATCCAATCCCATTAGGGAGCCTATGCAGGCAATACTGAATGCTAGGACCTGCCACCTGATTCTAGACGACAGAATTGATCCTCTCTAAGGCTGGCTAAGGCAAGGAACTTTAATTGTCTCATCAGCAATGCTCTCATTCCAAATGAATCTACCAAGACAGCAAACCATGAAAAGGTAAAAAAGCATAAATCTGTGTATGAAAACTTGATGAAAGGCTGTAGGTGATGTTGCACATGAGGAACTGATTGTCATTTCAAGCCCTGGGTATGTTTTCCATCCCTGATGTAATTTGGGAGTGCTGTGTGCCGAGTTTTTTTAAAAATGGTGCCAATAAAATAGGGGGGTGGATGCACAATATAATCCAATACAACAGCCCTGGATTCTTTTGTGGATCTTGTACTATTTTACTTCCTACTATTGTTGTAATATGTAGGTGATGATTGAAGCCTGGGATCATATCTGAGGCCATAGTTTGTGGTGTCATTAGAGTCCATGACATTTTCATAAATAAACACTAGAGCAGGAAATCCTTCCACCTGTCTGGCTTTTACCTTGGCAAGACTTCAAGTCACAGCCTCAAGCTGATTCACAGCAAACCTGAACTCATAAAAGGCCTCCCGCTTCACAAATCCTTTACTTTTGTTTAAAGGAGCTCCCAGAAGAACTTGTTATTCACCGTTTGTTTGATGGTAGAACTATTTCATGTTACAATCTGGATGCATTTCTTTTAAGTTAAACAATTTGGTTCTAATGCAGTTGCCATTTGATCAGACCATTTTGAGCATTTGATTTCAATAGTATTCATTTCCTTTTCTTATCTGGAATGATCACAAAGAGTGGAAAATCCTTTGAAATTTAAAATAAGACGTTTGATGGCTGTTTGTACTTAGATTACAAGTTTGCAGATTTGTATAATAGTAATATCATGGCATAATGTGAGCCATTTGTCCAGCAAACTTTTTAGGTCTGCATGCCATTTATGAATATTTATGTATCTGTCTATGACCAAAGACTCATTAAATAGTATAGAGCATTTCAAGTGAACTGTTGTTCTTGTTTTCCCTCATAATGAGACAAACTAAGGACTAGCGCTTCAGTCTTTTGAGCGTTTTAAACGGAATGATACAGAAGTTCAGTTTTTACTTTGCCATGATGAGAAATAAATATCTGATTTCTTGCACATTAGAAAATCTCCACATGTATGCAGTCTTACAGCAGCATGTGGAAAGCATTCAAATTGCATTCCAGTGAAATAATCTCAAATTGGAGCTACAATAGATTAAAGAGGCATATTTGTGCAGACTGTGTAAAACTAGATTACACAATACACATAAATGACATGTTAGGACTCATTATGCACGTCACAAGTGCACTGTACACGGTGCACCTGTGTTTTGTGATATTCTTGTCACACACAAACCACTTTTATTCAAGTTTCACTGACCTGCAGACAAATCTAAATGGAACAGTCATACTCCAATTATGGTTGTGTGAAAAGAGTTTGTTATAGAAACAAACTCACCTTTTTTTTTTTTACTGTATTTGTGGCTCGAATCCTGTGTCAATACATTCATTTTTACTTTACAGACATAAAGAGGTCTAAACTGAAAATTGTTTTGTTCCCTGTTTGGCAGCTGTGACATTATTGATGCATGCAAGCTGTCAATGCACCCTTTATCGATTCCAAATAAAATACCAAATGATCATAGAAAACAATGGAGGAGGCTGCTGGATATTTCATATGTTCAGAAACAAGAATTTAACTTATCTGGCCTTGGATACATATTTGTGCTGGGCTATAATTGCAACTCTCCGCCTCCTGTGAGAGAATATTAATTTCCTCTTAGGTGAAGCTCTTCCAGATTCCATTACCTGATGTCTGTACATCATAGCAATGCTTTTAGAAAGAATTGCTGCCATGCCCTTGCAAACCCACTTATAATGTATATAATGGATTTTTCTTAATCCCACCTCATTTCCATATGCACACTGGGTGTGCCCCGCGCCTCCAGCCATGAAAATACAGAAGGTGCCACTCCCTCTGCACAATATGGAAAGCACACTTGACTGCGCTATGCACCTGCACTTTGATTCATGAAATTATCGCCCTTGGCCTTCTTATAATTCAAGTTTCACAGAGAGAAACAGCACTGGATCTCCAAGAATAGGGACCCATCAAAGTTTTCACACATTAGTGGCGCAATGCTCCATCAGGTAAACTTGAGTCTAAGAGGACTCCAATCTACTAACAGATTACCAAAACTAGCAGTGTGTCCAGGATGAACTTCTTCCTTTGTTTTCCTAAATGATCAATGGGAATTGGTTATAACTGTAATGAGAGGGAGAAAACCGCTGGGCCCAGCGGCCTAATTAAGCCAGAATCTCCAGCGCATGGCTAATTAATACTGGCGAGGAAATTAATGAAGAGCTTGCGGCCTGCTGCTGACAGCCAGCAGGAGAAAAATGCAGCTACGTCAGCAGAGAGCCCTGCAGCACTCCAGGTGACTGCCAATGCCTCCTTCGTCATTTAGACAGCATACTGTAAACACCGTTCCTACACCAGGACACTGCCACATAGCCACAGTAAAAAAATATACAGTCTGCTATTGATACAAGCTGAGAGATCTGATCTAAAACCAGCTTCTTTTAACTGCCAAACTCCATCTGTCGTTGAATCCTCCACTGGGCACTGATTTCATATCAGTTCTCAGAGTAACAGCCAAAGCTTTTCTCAGTTCAGACACAAACTAGGAACCCTGATCTGAGAACAGATAAGCCTCAAAGCTGCTGCCAGCACCGTCACCCACAGAACCTGAAGCAGGCTATCTCAAAGAACTAAGAAGCTGCTGTCCATCAGCATGACCCGAGTCCCAGCCACTGCCAATGTCCTGTCTCTGAAACACACACACACACACACACACACACACACACACACACACACACACACA